GCCCACGTTATACTTTCCTCTTGTTGTAATCTGAATTGAACCTCAACACAAAATAGTGACTCTTTATTTGGAGTATCTCCACATTGGCAGCCCACACCAGCATAAGACCACCACTCAGTCCCACAGGATCTACCAGTACATGTCTGTCCTTAAACCCTAAGTTCTTGCACACAGTCCTAGCAAAGTGAGTTTGTTGTTTTGTTTCTGAAAGGAAAAGAAAATGTGGGTGATGGGTCCTTATGGACTCCTCGATCTGGGGAACTGTAGAGGGTCCACCCAAACCTCTACAGTTCCACACCAGTGCATTCATTGGTCACCTTGTGGCCACTCTAGGCTAGCCACCACCACCCTTTTTACCCCTGCCCTCCTCAACCTCGTCTGTGTTAAGCTCTTCAGCATTCATAATTCCAATTCTGTTTCTTATGCTAGTATTTGTTGTCATGCTTCTTCCTTGATTGCTAGGCGTCTTCTGCAGTCTCCCTTCACTAGGTACTCTTTTCCACCCTTGGGGTTTCCTGTCCCTGCGTTTTGGTAGTAATTCACTCTCAACTGGTACCTCTTTTTCCTGGGTATGAGTATTAGACACAATTTCAATAGCCATAGTTTCCACTCCTCTATCCTCAGGGTTATGTGACAATAAAGCTGGCCTTTCAATCTGTCCTTCACCATTCCCTGACAGAGGTTTCTCTAGGCTGACATTTTGTATAGTGTTTATCCCTGGAGCTCGAGAACTGCCTGCCCCTTCCTCTTGCACCTCCAAAGGTACTAACTGTTTCTCCCCTTTTACTTCTCCTGGTTGCATTTGTTCTTGTGATCCTGCCACTGAATCAAATGAGACATGTTGTGGGTTTACATTTGGCTCTCCTTGTGGCTCTGCACCTGTGTCCTGGCTTCTGGAAAAGGATTGCGGTGTTGGTGGACCTTTTATCCATCCTCCATACTGTCCTTCTTGGACGTTATTGCCTTCAATATCCACCATCCTGCTGCTGCAATTTCTGTCCAAATGTCCAATGAAACCGCAATAATAACACAGATTTACTAACTTTTCATACTTAAAGTGGATCAACACTTTCTGGTCTCCCAATCTAATGTGAGTGCATCTAGGCAAAGATTCTTTGAGATTTACAATAGCCAGTAATCTCAAGAATCGGCCGGCTTGATTTCCCATTGTGCTAACTGTTACATTTTTAACTCTTTTGAAAACACCCCCAATCTTTAAACCTACTTCCACTCTCATCCAATTTAGAGGGATATTATGCACCTGCACCCACAAGTTTAACACATCGAAACAGGGATGGTGTTTATTTAAACCCTCGCGCCATGTTGTCAGTATGAGATATTGATTTTCGAACATCCAGTTGTTGCCTGCCGCTACCTTCTGTAAATCTTCTTTCTTGGTAAACAGGAATTGAAAGAAATTTGCCTCCAATTCCCGAACCTCCAAAGTATTCTGAAGTCTCCATATTGCTGTCATTGCCCGTTTAATTCCTAGCAGACTCGCTGGCCGATCCCCTATGATTTTGCTAAATAAACTTCGATTACAATCTTCTGCACTAGCTTTTAAATCAACAACTTCGATACTAATTTCCCCCGCCTCTTTCTCCGACAAGGAGAAATTACTCAGTTTTTTTTTGCGTTAGTTTATCTTCACCCGATCCAGAATTTGACGTATTCATAATGTTCTGTTGACAGGCCGTCAAACTCTAAAACCCCAAATAATTCCCCACAGTGTTTACGAGTCCCACGCTCTTAGGAAAAAGAAAAAACTCGATCCGCAATACTCTTAATTAGAATTTTCAAAAGTGTAAAAGGAATTTTACTGAAGGCAATTGTTTAATTGATTAATCCTCACCCGAGGGAAAACATTCTTCACCAAGGGAATTTTCGCTCTCGTGGAAGAGAATATCTCTTTTATCTTTATCTCGTATGAACAAATTATGGTTCACAATTAAATGCCGATCAATTGTGACCTAAGCGATAAAGGTGATTTACTAAGTAAAATTCATGATTGCCTATGATTTTGATGTGGAATTGATTTTCTTTTTTGCTTTTTTGTTCTTTTGTTCATTTTTTTGGGGGGGTTTTTTGAGTTTATGTGTACTGGAGTATTTTGGATGAATAATTCACAAGTTATCTTCCTTTGCAATTCGTATTTCATTAACTTGTTGCTGTAGTTCATATATGATTACCACACATATAATTAAAATGGAGTATTTTTTTTCTCTTATTTAAATTTGTGGATCAATTATCTGAAAAATTACATTCATGGTTTAAATTAAAATAAAAAAAATAAAAAAAAAATAAAAAAAAAAACATTTGAGAAAGAAACTCACACTTTGATTGGGACTTAATATTTATAGTCAACACCTAATTAATAAATTATTTATTTTAAATATGCAATCACTTAATAGACTATTCTCAAAATTTCTGAATAAAATGCAGAGAATAATTATCATATCTCTTGTAATTGCATGGATCCCATAATATTTACATATACAATTAATTTATCAAAACACTTTCCTCACAAAAACCAATAGTTACAAAATAATTTTTTTTTTAATAAAATATACACAATTGACCACTTAGTCTTCTAAAATTACATGTATTCCATCTATAAGAATTTACGTTATATAAACGTACTTTTCAAATTTTACATAGCAGATCTAAAGAATTGGTCTATCTTAATTTTTTCTCTAAAAGTTCAAACATTATTACAAATTATGTAATTTTTGAAGATAAGAACACACTAATTCACCAAATCTCTAAAAAATTAAGCGCATTTCCCAATTTACTTATTAGAAGTTAATTATCAGAACTTTTTCTTCCAATATTTATTTTTTAATGTTTTTACCTTGTTTTCTTTACTGACAATCAAATGATTTGATTTAATTAATTTTGAAACAAAATATTTGTTGATTGAAATATTAAGTAATTATTGGATATTTACTTTACGCTGCTTAAATTATAGTATTAATATATCCTTGCAAAAAAATAAAAATAGCATATTGAACGAGTTTTTGTCTAAATATATATATATATATATTAAATTTTGATAATAGTGAGAATAAGGAGTGCGGGGCGCACCATAAGAGGGGATGTCTAGATGAAGTCCACTAAAATTAATTTGTGGAAGGAAAAGTAGTCCACTAGACTTATAAGTTATGTTTATTTTTTCTATATTAATTATGTGAGACAATTTACAAGTGATATTCTAACAAAATATGTTTCCACAAGTCAGTATATTTTTATATATATATTTATGTTTTTCACTTTTTCTTTCTTTAGTAACATGAGTGCCAAATTTTAATAAATATCGATGGAGAGCAATACATGTGGTGCAATAAATATTTTTTGGCTTGCCTAATTTCACAAGTTGTTGATAGCACAGCTTCGTACCAATATTATTGCATGTGAAATATTAACTATAATAATAAATAGTGCTTGGACATAGATAGCTAATACTAATAGCTATTGTACCATAATTTTGAAATATTGTACTGTTTTTTACATATATATGCATAATGGATTGCGAAACTCAATCTCAATTATTTTTTAACCCAATAGCCAACGCTCTTGAATGCAGAAAATTCGATTCTACTGGTGATAATATAATCATCGAATAATATTTTACTGTTGGATAAATAGTGAGTCCGGGTAGAATTAGGCTCATATATCTCAAATCCCGACGCTCTTCAAATAAAGAAGTTATAGTAATATAAGGATTTAATTAATGTGTTTTTAATTAGTACTAATACTAGTAACTTTCTTTTCCTCTACCTTGAAAATTTGAGCCGACGAAAATTGAGTTTCCAATTTTCGCGGTGTATTAATTTGTTGGATCATAGATTTCGTGTTTTTAATACTTTATTTACATGTCGTCATAAATATAAACAATGAATATTTGATAACGTAGTGCATGGATAGATTTCACCTCATGATAACTACCGTAATTAATAATTATCCAACTTTTTACCATTTAACCAACGTTGTTTTGATTTATCAGTAAAAAATTCAATAAATACCTGATGCCAATTGCACTTGCTGGAGATGCCATGCCTTAATTCATGATATATCCTTATAATTATGATTATTATTATTCCAAAAAGAATGATAAAAATGAAAACATAATAATAATTTAATCATTTAAATATTAAATTAATGTGTGGTGTCTGCTGACAAGGATATGACGGGTGATAGAAAAGAACAGGCCTTTTAAAGTAAATTTGTCTATTGTTCATGACGTAAGTTACCAACAAAATTCCATATCTCCATGCAAGTATGCAACTCATCTGGACTGGATCATACTAATTTTGTTAATTCACTGAGAAGAAAGAAAGGAAAAAGAGAATATGATCCAATCATAAATTAAAGTGCTTTATTGTGTTGTATATCTTAAGCAAAACAAGAACTTGAGTTTAGACCAAAAATTTTACCCAATAATGTATGGGCTTTTAGGTTCAGCACTTGAAAAGCTATCATTTGACTAATTTCAAGTCTTCAGTTCCATTCTGTACACCACTCAAAACCTTTAGAAA